TCTAGCTTTCAGGTTCGATACCTGCAAAATCTATTAGGGGGTGAGCGAAACCACAGCTCAGTAGGGACATAAACCTTTTTATATGATGGACTTAATTATTGCAGTACTTCCCACATTTGTCCTTTTTAGCTCCTCAACATGATCAAAGAGACTCAAATTGTTTTGTGTAAGTCCCCTCATGTACAGTAGTTGTCTTTTGCCTTGCTCTGTATATTTGTGATCTTGAAGCTATGACACATAGATCTTCATTCACCCTTTCCTTAAAAGCTCCTACATCCCAATTTATTATTCTAGACAGCTGTGTAGAATATCTCTCTACTAACCATGATGAGTTAGCATGAACATTGCGTTCAACAGTCCCACAAGTGTGCTCCTCTTCATAACTCTTAATTTGAACCATGTTACTTCCATTTACAGCTGAAGCATAAACAAACCATGGACATTTTCCATTCTTGATCCCATCACAAACTGCTCTAACCTTATCTTTATCATTCTTCGAGAACTTAATCTTCCTTATGTTGAATACTAAATAATTTCTCACTGCTTTCCTAAATATATAGACACTGGGAAATCTTAGACCAAGCTTAAAGATTGGGTTATTCAAATCTGTATCAGGCCTAAAATCTTCAAACTTGGGCAGTTTCCTCTTCCTTTTTCTCATAGGCAAATCAACCTCATCACATGAGCTACTATCCAAGCTATTAACATCACTTACAGCCATATCATCTAATTTCTCTCCTTCATCTGCTGCTGGATCAATATCTAGAGCATTGTGGTCAACATAGTTGTCAAATGCTTTATCATCCTTCTCCAGCAAGCATTGTTCATCTTCACTTTGCTCATAAGCACTGTCATAAAATTCAGGCTCTTCACTGTCTTCACTCTCATTTTCAGCCTTTTCGTCATTCTCTCCCTCTTCATATATAGTCTCATCCTCCACATTTATACCATCCGGAATAGTACCTTCATCACCCTCATCCACATTTATACCCTCAGGAATAGTGCCTTCATCATCCTCTTCAACCACATAACTGCCCAATGGAACAGCACCTTTTATCTCCAACCAACATCTCCAACTAATTTCCATGACATGATATAATTATGCATTTCACATATCCATATATCCCACAACAATGTAGCTATTCAAAATATCACCATTGTACCAACATTGTTCAACCAATCAAGAACACATAAACATTCCAAGAAAAACATTCGATTGTAACAAGAATATTAATCAAATAATCATATCACGCATAATATATTGTTCACAAAATTTAATTGAAACAATCTCTGTAAAAGGCCCCCAAGAAACCCCTACCTTGTTTCCAAAGCTAGCTCCAAGTTTAGGAAAAACACAATTTGAACCATGTTACTTCCATTTACAGCTGAAGCATAAACAAACCATGGACATTTTCCATTCTTGATCCCATCACAAACTGCTATAATCTTATCTTTATCATTCTTGGAGAACCTGATTTTCTTTCTGTTAAATACTGAATAGTTTCTCACTGCTTTCCTAAATACATAGACACTGGAAAATCTTAGACCAATCTTAAAGATTAGGTTAGTCAAATCTGTGTCAAGCCTAAAATTATCAAACTTGGGCAGTTTCCTCTTCCTCTTTCTCATAGGCATATCAACCTCATGACATGAATTACTATCCAAGCTATTAACATTACTTACAGCCATATCATCTGACTTATTTCCTTTATCTGCAATTGGATCAATATATGGAGCATTGTGGTCAACATAATTGTCAAATGCTTTATCATCCTTCTCCAGCAATCATTGTTCATCTTCACTTTGCTTAAAAGCACTGTCATAAAATTCAGGGTCTTCCTCATGTTTTTTACTATCTTCATTCTCATTTTCAGCCTTTTTATCATTCTCACCCTCTTCATATATGGTCTCTTCACCACCCTCAACCTCCTCATTTATAGCCACATCAACAATAAT